TGAAAGCAGGTAGATTTACAAGCTCTGCTCTGCCTCATACTCACAACCCCCTCTACAGATGGACAGATGGTGGTGCAGGAATCTCTGACACCTCTTAGAAGTCTTTTGTTCTTTCCAGAATCTTTCCTGACAAGTACTGTTTTGAGTCACGGATTAGGTGGAACTGGGTGTAGAAGAAAGCACTACAGCAAGGGAAGATATTTTCCATCCCAGATGTTGTAGGAACAAGGAAATGGAATTTTTCATAGATTTATGCCACACTTCTATCACGGTGGGGAGAGAGGCATCAAACCAGGCTCATTCCTGAAAGAAGTATTACATTTTTTAAAAGAGAAAGGACTATGAATTTCTTGTCAAATAAATGTTTAAATTTCAAAGCTACTGAGTTTGTTTTTTTAGAGACAGAGTCTCGCTCTGTCACCCAGGCTGAAGTACAGTGGAACGATTTTGGCTCACTGCAACCTCCATCTCTCTGTTTAAAGGAATTCTCCTGCCTCAGCCTCCTAAGTAGCTGGGATTATAGGTGTGTGCCAACATACCCAGCTTATTTTCATATTTTTAGTAGAGATGGGGTTTCGCCATGTTGACCAGGCTGATCTCAAACTCCTGACCTCAGGTGATCTGCCCGCCATGGCCTCCCAATGTGCTGGGATTACAGGCTTGAGCCACTGTGCCCAGCCCTACTGATGTATTAATATTATTCATCTTCTTGAATACAGCACGTGGTAAAGTGCAAATCCACACTTTAAACCTGAGATTTCTACTCCTATGTGAATTGTACTACTGAGGAGCAAAAAAATTCTGTATTGGTTGGGAGATGATGCTTGACAGTGCAGTTTGTGAGGTAGAGGCTTATGTCACAGTACTTTTTACAGTGTTACATATGAAAATGGTGAATGGCTTCATACCCAGAAAAATTAGCTTTTTTAAGGAGCTGTATTACTACCACCAAGAAAGAACTGAATTGAAGCCTGTGACTACTAGATGAAGCGGGCATAAAGAATAGGGAAAGACTTGGGAGGCCGAGGCAGGTGGATCATGAGGTCAGGAGATCGAGACCATCCTGGCTAACACGGAAACCCCATCTCTACTAAAAATACAAAAAAATTAGCCAGGCGTGGTGGAGTCCCAGCTACTCAGGAGGCTGAGGCAGGAGAATGGCATGAACCTGGGAGTCGGAGGTTGCAGTGAGCCAAGATTGCACCACTGTACTCCAGCCTGGGCAACAGAGCGAGACACTGTCTCAGAAAAAAAAAAAAAGAAGAGGGAAAGAAAAAGGACACAAAACACAATATGGTAAATGGAAAGGAGAAAGTCATTACATAGTGTCTAAGAGTAAAATAAATAAAAAGAGGATATTATGAGTAATTTTGTGTCAACTAACTGGACAAAAGTGGTGCAGGGCGGGTTCTTGGCCTCCCTCAGGAAGGAGTGCAGCGTAAGCGGGTGGTGGAAGGAAACGGCTTTACTGAGGTGGCGGTTACAGCTCTGTGACTGCTCTTGTTGAGCAGAGCTACCCACAGGCAGTGTGCCTGGAGCAGCGGCGCAGGGGTAGTGTCACACTCATATTTATCCCCACTTTTAATGACATGCTAATTAAGGAGTGGGTTATTCAGAAGTAGCTAGAAAGTGGGCAGTAACTTTCAGGTGTTGCCGTGGCAATGGTAAACTGACATGGCACTGGTGGGCATGTCTTATGGACAGGTGCTTCCAGTGTCTCTTCCTTGTTTTAGCTAGTCTTCAATCTGTTCCAGATTTG